TGAATTTGGTCGCAATCGAATTAACCGTTTTGGAGATTACCCCGAACAGACAGATAGACACCAGAAATTTATATAGGTAGTATATATACGTGCAAGTGGAAGTTTGGTAACATTTCGTGCGATCAAAATGGAAGTTTGGTGACGAATTGGAATTTTGGAGACAGTCACCAAACTTCCAAAAAAATTTTCTTCTTCCAAATTAATTTTTTTTTTAATAAGGTTACTAGAAACAACGCGCGCTCTCCGAGCGCGCTGTCTCAAGACGACAACGTTAAAAATTATTTAATTTTTATTTTTATTTATTTCGAAAATTTAAAAATTTATAACAATTTTAGGTAGTTCCTATGCTACAAAGGTGTATTTTCTGCTCTTTTATTACTCTGCCAAGCGGGTTTTTTATTTTTCTGGAATAGAAAAAAGTTCAATAAAATAATGTCTTATAAAAATAACGAAAAATATGATATTTCAATAAGACATTATTTAAAGCCAACCACAAAATTTATAACAATTTTGGATATTTATTATAATTGTTTTTTCTTTCAATCATCTAGAACATCATTTTATCCATGATTCCAAATGAAATCTATTAAAATCGATATGCAACACGCGGGAAACACTTTTTACTTTTTTTAATCATATTCTTTTGTTGTTATTATTCGACAAACACTTATTTTTCATTGATCATTTAAAACTTTTCTTTACCAATAATTCCTAAAAAAGTTTATTTAAATCGATATACAACACGCGGGAAACATTTTTCATTATTTAGAACATAGATGTCTCTTGGTTAGGCAAAAGAGAAGGAAATATTACGAGGTTAACGTGAAAGAGAGTGATAACAATACGTAACGCAAGAAAGAGGGCACTGTAGGGAGCCCAATGTGAAAGAAAGTGACAAAAGACACATTCAGTAAGAGAGAACACATGATAGAGCGCTCGATTAAGTAGAGTGAAACAGCGAGCGAAAAAATCTTGAATAGCAGAAATATCGCTGTTAGGGGCGTGGCTTATTTATAACTCCGTTAATAATTAATAAAAAATTCTCGTTTAACGTTTAATTGGAAGCTCATGATATAAGATAACTACCTATTAAATATGAAATCATAATATGTAGCAATTATAAAGATATTTGCATATAAAGATGCGTTGATGACGTCACACAAAATTTTTCGTGTATAGAGTAGTCGGTAGCCTCGGCGCTCATGGGGGAAAGAGCGCGCTAGTGAGAAAGAGAGAGAGAGGGAAAAGGTGAATGTGCACTTGGCGCCGAGTATCTACCGCTACTCTAGATAAAAATGATTTATAATAAAAATCAAAAAAAATCTACAGACTATCCCGAATTAATTACTACGGAAGTTTTACTCGTACGTACTATTATTTACATATACATTAAACTATATACATATATCGATTATATGAACCATCTAATCAATTATCGTGTTATCTACAGCTGTAAGAGCCACGCCAAGTTAATTGTGTTTAAATAAATTTTTATAAAAAAAGAGAAATTTTTTTTATTCAATTTTTTTCTCTATTTTCAAAATTTTAAAACGTAATAAGGCTGTCAACTATCTTCATGTATTGAATTTTTTTTTTATCTTATTATAAAGAGTTTGTCTTTGATTTATGTAGAAAATTACGTAATAATTTAACGAAAATTAAAAAACATTCCTATTTTATTTTAATAAATATAATTAATCTTTATGTTTAAATACTTGGCTGCAATGATTTTATGCATTTTTGTAGTTGTTCGCATAAAGAAGTTTTATAGAAATCGCACTTGATGAACGATGATTATCGTCTTCGTTATTCATACTTGGCGCGTATTTTTGTGAAGTCCGTTAGGGCTGTTTTTGGTGTGATGTATTAAATTTTTCTTATCATCGAGTTCAATAGAGCTCCATAGACATACAATAATTTGTGTAGATATACATGGATTGACTTAGATCAAATTTTCTTTAGTTTTTTAGATATAAGTATTACTTCATTATTACCCAATGACTTATGAATAATAACTGCTTTTTCATCTACAGAAACTTGCACAGAAGTGTAATCACGTTCAATATTGATAAGTAATCATTTCTCGTTGTTTTCAGGAAAGATCATTTGTACATCATGAATGAAGGATGCGAAAATCCAACGTTAGCTCTTAAGAGCTGGAACATCCCATTAGAAAGTAGATCTAAGAATTTGGAGTACTCACAGCTTTGGAAGTGCAATAAACTTAATGATTATGTGAAGTTAGAAACTTTAAGGTAAAAATATACTTGGGCACTTTTGAATGAAAATTGATTTGGAAAAATTTTTTAAAACATAGAGGTCCTATAAAAAAGACAAAGTCTTATTCCAGAGTTTAGGTGATTTATTACCTTCATGAGATTGCAAAATTTTTTTGAGAATTTCCCAGTTTTAATCCTTATTTAAAAGAGTTCAATTAAATTATTACCCTGAATTACTGACTGTTATTGTATTATACAATAGTTTTTTTTTAAATATGCTCATTTTATTTATTTTATTTTATTTTTTTACTATAACGGATAATTATCAATTATGCAATGATGTCAAATAAGAGAATTTAATTAAAAATGATATTTTCTGGGTTAAATAAATGTTACACATTCAATTTAATTAAAATATATAGGTATTTAGAATAAATTTGCAAGTATTTTCGAACAGTTACGTCAGGAAGATTAAATATAGAATTATTAGAGAGTTGAATTAATAATACTACAAAAAAACATATTATATGATTCCATGAGTAATAAATTTTAATTAATGAAATTATCAGGTTTAAATTTGATAAAATTTATTCTTCAAAATAGTCACTTTAATTCGTAGAATATTTTTCCATCTTTCATTTTTCTAAAGAAAAATTTAAAAGTAGTACTTCATTTCACCAAAACAAATATTGATTTAAAAATTTTGTATTAACAATAATTAAAAAGAAAAATTTATATCAAAAAATATAAATTTGACTATTTATAATTAGGAATGCCACTAGAGGCGTCTAGCACGCTACTGGGTGGCGCATGGTGACATTCCATTAGATTTCACGACCAGGAGGCGCGTAAGAGCTAGTTATCTAGCTAACCAGAAATGTTTTCAATCATATGAGATTCGATTCTCGACTTGTGCACATCGTGTTATTTTTCGCTCATTTCTTTTGTAAAAATACAAGTGGAATTGTGTTTTTATGCTTTAACTGCATAAGTACTAAGTGAAAACGATCATGTAAGAGTAAAAGTGGGTGTTTGTGATTGAAAATAGTTAATTTTTACAGTTGAGGTGAAGTGATAGAACAATGTCGTACCGAAGTTCCGAAGGTAGTAAAGGGATCATCCCTTCACGATGGTTATCGTGTCCTCGCAAAAGTATAAAATTAATAAACAATAAATTTCTCGCGTTTAAAACACCACTTTCTGATGAATTTGATAATCAAGTTTCTGAAGAATGTCGTTTTTCTGTTAATATGTTGTTTGCATCATCAAAGTATCAAAAAGTGAAAATGGGATTACTAATAGATTTGACAAATACCACCAGATTTTATCATAAAGCTGATGTTGAATCCCATGGTTGTCGTTATTACAAGCTCCAATGCCGTGGCCATAAAGAAGCTCTATCTGAGGAACAAACAAAAGTCTTTATAGAAATTTGTAGAAATTTCATCGCTCGTAATCCATCTGAAATAATTGGAGTTCACTGCACCCACGGTTTTAATAGAACTGGATTCTTTTTAATTAGTTACTTAGTGGAAAGTCACATATTTAAATTAGATGCTGCTGTGAGTGAATTTTCAACTGCAAGACCTCCTGGAATTTATGAAGAAGACTACATAAACGAGTTATACAGGCGATATGATGATGAAAATGATGCACTTTCTGCACCACCACGATCAACTTGGTGTTCAGATTAACATGATTCCAAAGGAGAATCTGGAAGTCGCAAATATTCCCAAAAAGGTAAAGAAAACATTGAAAACCCTGTTTTCATGGCTGGAGTTCCTGGAGTAGAACCAGTACAAGATTAAGCTTGTAGTGCTCAAGGGTAACCTTGCACTAACTAATGATGCTTAAACGGCTCCCGCGTAAAGATCTAGGGAGCGTTTCCCCAATTTCTAATTATTCCTAGGTGTCGCTTGACCCATGGTCAAGCTATCATGACACCATCTTCTCTCTCTTCGTCCTAGGACGCCGAACAAGGCACACTGATTGTCTCCCTACTGTCGCTCTGCTCCAAAAGGAACCAAGATTGGTGACTCCGAGAAATCACGTTTTTTGGAGGAAGTGCAAGCTTGGGCAGCATCTTTATTTTTTTTCTGGGATCACCGCCACTACTCATGGTCACAAGTCATCAAGTAAAACGGTTAACATAAAAGATAATCCAAAAGGCAGATAAGCATGGTAGGAGATTTTATATATATATATTGCTAGGCAGGAACGTAAAGCCTCTAATCTAGATCACGTTTGGCGACCATACTAATCTTAATTGAGTAATCTAATAATTAATAGCACTAACGATTGCGAAATCACAAAGATTTTCATTTTGATATGATTTATAAATATATGTCGTGACTCGAATTTATGTCGCGGAATCCAGTGTCAAACCTGGATTCATATTTCTATATCTTGTAATATAAAGCGTGCGTGAACATCAAGATTGTATTATTTTGTATGGAGCATTCGGATGAACTATTTTGCCAATAAATCTTGCCAACATTGTATTTAAATTTTGATATTACTTTATTTTATTTATAAATATTTGTCATACCACAAGCTAAAGTAAGAAAAATTCAAAGAAGAGTTCAAGAATTATGCAACTGGAAGAGAAGTGGTTTTCCTGGTTCTCAACCTGTCTCTATGGACCACAATAACATTATCCAATTTAAAATCAGACCATACAAAGTGTCATGGAATGCTAATGGTACTAGATTTATGATGTTAATTCAAGCTAACAAGGAAATATTCTTTATTGATAGGAATAATAGTGTCTATGAAGTGTCTGGTGTAACTTTTCCTCATGATGAAGATGTTTCTAGAACTCTAAATGATACTTTATTAGATGGAGAAATGGTTATTGATAAAGTGGATGGTAAAAATTATCCTAGGTACCTAGTTTATGATATTATTATGTGTGATGGCAGAGATGTATCTACAGACTTATTTTTCATTGAGAGATATGACATCATCGAGGGAGAAGTAATAGGGAGCCGAATTAGAGCATTAAAGGAAAGCCGAATACACCGACATCGAGAACCCTTTTCTATTCGTCAGAAGCAATTTTGGGACATCACACAAGTCAACAAGTTATTGAGTGAAAAATTCCTTAAACAATTGGGTCATGAACCAGACGGTCTGATCTTCCAGCCTCAGTGTTCCCAGCCGTCACATAATTATAGTACATGTCACATAAATCTATCTTGATGTACTATGTACTCCAAACAGTACTTATGTGACACTGATGTACTATAATTCGATTATTTTTGCATATACAAAATACAAAAAATATACACATAAAAAATTATACATAGAAAAATACAGTATTCATATGTGTTCATATATTATTTTATTTTTGACTTTTTATCGCTAGGAAGCGCTCCTATCTCGAAGAATAAATGAAGCTAACTTCACTCAATATGAAAATTATTTTAATTATCAATGTAGGTCATTTTTTAATCCGAGGTGTTGGTTAGTTTTACAATGATAATAGTTTCTGGAACGGCATAAAAATGTAAATATACATTACAAAACTAGTTTAGTTAATTAATTTATTTTTATAACTAGTCAAATACCAAAAAGTATATTATTTATGAGTAATAAAAATAATCTAAAGAGTAAAATATCAAAGTTAGCTACGAAGAAAATGGAATCTTCTGTTGAAAACAGATCTCCGAATACCTCCTGTAATTCACCACCTGAAAAATCAACCAAGACTGTTCGACGTAAACAAAAATTTAGGAGTGAGTGGTTATCAGAAAGTGATTTCAGTACTTGGCTTATCCCAGATAAATCAGATATTTACAAAGCTACATGTATTTTATGTAAAACTTCCATGAAGGCTGAAATATGTGTAATTCGAACCCATGCCAAAGGTCAAACTCACATGCGAAATATTAGTGGCACTAAGAAGCAAACTCCCATCACTACTTTTACAGAATCTAATATTAATAATAACTCCAACAACTCGGTACATAGAGCTGAGATAAAATTGTGTGGTTTTTTATCAAAACATAATCTTTCATTTAAAATAATGGATCATCTTGGTCCATTATTGAAAAGTTGCTTTCCTGATTCACAAATCGCTCAAAAAATTCAAATGAAAAGTACTAAATCTTCTGCTATTGTTAAGAATGTCATTGTCGTATCTGAAAAAGAATATTTAGCTAACAAATTGAAGAATAATAAATTCAGTATACTTGTTGATGAATCAACTGATATATCAGCAATTAAAGCACTGTGTATTGTTATAAGGTAATAAGAACTTTTTTTTCACTGTCTCTTTAATTATAACTTATTGGAATATATATTTATAAATTTTTTAATTTCAGATTTTATGATTGTGAAGCTAGTAACATTGTTAGCCGTTTTTGGGACCTCTGCCAAGTCTTCAGTGACACTAATCTAGTTGATGCAGCAACTGCAGAACATCTTTTCAATATTGTGAAATTATCATTTGATGAATATCAAATCCCCTACTCCAATATCATTGGTTTTGTTTCGGATGGTTGCAATGATGGGGTGTAATAATTCAGTTGCCACCAGATTTCAAGATTTATGTCCTAATATATGCATTTTTAAATGCATATGTCATTTTTTGCACCTTTGTGCAAGTACTGCTTGCAAACAACTACCCAGACAATGTGAAGATTTGGCACGTGATGTTTTCAACTTGTTAAGTGCAAGTGCTAAACGACAATTTGCGTTGAAAGAGTTTCAAGAGTTCTTAGATGTTGAAGTACACAAGATTTTACACCCTTCTCAAACTTGATGGTTATCATTATCATCAGTAGTATTAAAATTACTAGAACAATGGACAGCATTACAAACATATTTTATTGATCAAGTATATGAAGCTAAACTACATGCAGCTGGAACAATATTAAATTATCTGAATAACCCGATTGTGAAGTTATATTATTTATTTTTAAAATGGGTTTTACGAAAGTTCACTACTTTGAATGAAATTTTTCAATCTGAAAAACCAATGATAACTTCTATGTATAATGCTGTTAAAATTACTTACCTAGAGCTACTACAAAGTTACATGCAATCAGATTATATCAGCCAAACTTCATTAGCTGATATTAATCCAACTGATAAAACTAGATTTTTATCATCTACTCGAATATATGCAGGCGTTGATGTGATTAATTTTTTTAGTTCTCCTGAATTTAATGAGAGAATGAAAGAAGATTTTTTCAATGGTTGTATAATGTTTTTAAGCACTGGCTGTAATGAAATCAAGTCTCGTTTTGATTTTGGTAATGCTCTAGTACAAAAATAAAATGTACTGCAACCTTCACTGCATCCAAAGCAATGGATCGAAGAACAAGAAACAACACACCATCACTTATGCCTTTAATGCAACTACTACCACGTATTGTAACTGTAGTAAACAATACCCGAATACTAGTAACAAAGCTTTATTTAAAGTAAAACAATTGGCAAACACGATATAACGTTACACAGCAGTTTTCAAACAGGGCGAGAAGCGCCACCACGCGGTAAGAAAGTGAAACTTATTTTGTTTCGTCGTAGGCTAAGGGATCTATGTTTATACTGCCAGTTCTTCATCCTCCCTTAAACATAATCCCATTTTGGTAGAGCAGTATTGCAGCTTCGGTAGAGGTGTGGCTTTGGTAAGTACATCAGCGACCATCGCAGCAGATTGGACATAACGCATATCAACGGATCCTCCAAGTACTTTGTCCCGGATAAAATGATGCCTCACATCGATATGCTTGGTTCTGGAATGAAAGCCATCAGTACCTGAAAGTTTAATGCAACTTTGGTTATCACAATAAACGCCTAAAGCTTCCTTCTTCAAATGAGGCCAGAACTCTTCTTGCATTTGCTTCAACCATAACGCCTCTTGTACACATGAAGCTAATGACATGTACTCTGCCTCAGTCGTAGACAGGGCAACTGTGGGCTGACGCCTGGAGTTCCAGCTGATCGATCCTCCCTGGAACACGAACACATAGCCAGTGCATGATCGTCGATCATCTTCAGAGCTTGCCCAGTCAGCATCACAATAAGCATGACATAATTCTTCTGAGTCACTTTGCTTGTAACTTAGTTTATAATTCAAAGTGCCTTTTAAATATCTGAGCACTCTCTTTAAGGCAAGCCAATGTTGCTTCTCAAATTTATTATTATATTTGCTCAATTTGTTCACAACATAACAAATATCAGGTCTTGTTCCCTGCGATATGTAAAGCAAACAACCAATAATTTCTTGATATGGAACTCTCTTTAAAAACTCTTTTTCTTGTTCCGTCTCTGTCGTTTCTTCACTTTTTCCTTTGAATTTTAAATTCACCTCCATAGGTGTCATAACTGGTTTACAGTCTGCCATACCATATTTATTTAAAACTTCCATAATATATTTCTTTTGATCAATGTATATACTTCCTTTTTCTCTTTGTACATGCAGACCTAAACAATATTTCACCTCACCAAGATCCTTCATATGAAATCTGTTCATTAATTCATTTTTTATATACTTTTCTGTATGTGAATTGTTTGTGAAAATTAAAATGTCATCCACATATATAGCCATAAACAGTATGTTATCTTTGCCTGTTATTTTGTAATAAATGCATGGATCTAATTTTGATCTTAGGAGCCCCATGTCTTTTAGTGAGGAATTTAATTTTTTATTCCATTGACGACTTGCTTGCTTCAGTCCATACAATGATTTTTTAAGCAAACAAACTTTTCCATCATCGCTTTCATACATTGGTGGCTGAGTCATGTAGATTTCCTCTTCGACATCTCCTTGAAGGAATGCTGACACGGCATCCATTTGATAAATATTCAAGTTATACTTTACTGCCGTGGCAAATAAATATCTTAATGAACTCATTCTCACAACCGGTGAGAAAACTTCTTGGTAGTCAATACCTTTCTTTTGAGCACAACCTTTTATAACAAGACGTGCCTTGTACTTTACAATTTTACCATTCTCATCTGTTTTTTTCTTAAAAACCCACTTACAGGGAATGGCCCTTTTTGACTCTGGTAAACTTGTGATTTCAAAAGTATTGTTCTCTAACAGAGATTTGTATTCCTCATCCATGGCTTCTTTCCAGTGCCTGGATTCTGCGCTTGATAACGCTTCTTCTACTGTCAACGGATCGGAGTCCTGTGGGACACACATGAAATTATGACCGGGAGAAGAATGCTCTACATTTGAACGTTGACGAGGTCTCAATGTAATGTTTCTTTCAAAATTGAAACTGTCAAAACTGTCACTGTTGTAATCATCGGTATCTGGATAATAAGTCTCATCCCTATTATTTGATTGACAACTATCAAATGATGTAGTAGATATATCACTTTGTGACAACAGATTCAATGTTTCATCGGTAGCATTTAGCGTCTCTTCCAATACATCACTGTTTGTACTTTGGTTTAACTGTTCTGTATTACTTGAACTTAGTTGTATCTTCGCAAGATGTGGCATTGACACGGACTTCTCATTATCAATATTAGCATTTTCTATGAAAATCACATCTCTGCTTGTAATAATTTGTTTGTTTCTGGGATTGTATAAACGATACCCTTTAGTATTATCGCAGTAGCCCATGAAAATCATTTCTTCTGATTTCTTATCCCACTTTAACCGTTTTTGTTTTGGTACATGAACCATTGCTTTAGAACCAAATATTTTCATATGTGCTAAATTAAGCTTTTTACCTGACCACTTTTCTTCTGGTGTCTGTTCTTCCAAAACTTTTGAGGGTGAACGGTTAATTATGTATGCAGCTGTGGCTACCGCTTCTGCCCAGAAACCTTTGTCCAAATTTGCATCAAATAACATACACTTAGCACGCTCCACTAGGGTCCTGTTCATTCGTTCCGCTAGCCCATTCTGTTCTGGCGTGTACGGAGTGCTGGTCTGATGCCGGATGCCACAATCTGTCAAAAATTTAGAAACATCTTTATTCATATATTCAGTACCATTATCAGTTCTTAATATTTTAATCTTTTTATCCAACTGATTTTCTACTTCATTCTTATACTTTGCAAACACTGATTTAATGTCCATTTTATTTTTCAAGAAGTATACATAAACTTTACGGGATTTGTCATCTATGAATGTGATAAAGTATTTAGCTCCTCCTCTAGAGGGCGTCTCCATCGGACCACAAACATCTGAATGAACTATTTCTAGCAATGTATCAGCTCTTGAACCAGAATGTGGAAACGGTAATCTAGTCTGTTTTGCCTCGAAGCACGGTAAGCATGAAGTACTCTCTTTGGTATTACTAATATTTACCCCTTCTGCACACTTTTCTAATTTCTTAACATCAGCAATATTTAAATGACCCATCCGTCTATGCCAAGTGTTTAAATCAGCCTTGTTTTCTACAGCTGCGACTGCACATGCATTGCCAGTAATTGTATTCAATTTGTACATGTTATTGGTTAGTCTCGCCGTTGCTATAATGCTATTTTGAGAATTATAAATCACACAGCCTTCATCGGTAAATTCTACTTTGCAACCTTTTTTTGTTAACTGGCTAACCGATAACAAATTAGCACTAAGCTCTGGTACTAATAAAACATTTCTCACCTGGATTAAATGCTCATCATTGCATACAGTAGTCTTTATATTTACATTACCCATTTTTTGCACGGTGACAGCATCATTATTTGCAACCATTATTTTTTGTATCGGAGGTATTTGCAAATCATACATCCAGGCAGGGTGTCGGCACATATGCATTGTTGCTCCTGAATCTATGTACCAGTCATCGGGATTCACTGTGCTGTAGGCTGAAAAAATTGCTGTAAAAACATTATTTGAATTGTTGTTTTTCTTTATTGTGCACTGATTTTTAAAATGTCCATACTGATTGCAATTATAGCAACGGGGACCTTTTCCTTTGGGCTTTTGCTGATTTTTGGGGGTACTTTTATGTTTTGTGTAAAAAGCTGTTGACTCGGAAACTTTTACTTCTTGTAACAGTTTTGTCTTTATAAAGTCGGATGAAATTTTGATTCCGGAGCTTTCCAGGCCCATGATCATAGGTTTATATGTCTCTGGCAAACCAGCCAGCATGAGCGTTCCTAACCATTCGTCATCTACTTTAAATCCAATGTTCCTCAATTTGTGAGCGGTGGTCATTATTTTATTGACATATTCCTCAATACTGACACAACTGTCGAGTGATGTGTTGATTAGATCCTTTAGGAGACCAACTTTTCTTGTGAGCCCGGAGTCCTCAAATGCTTTTTGGAGATTAATCCACATCTCACGAGCGCTGGTTGCACTTTCAATGTGAACATAATTGATCGGCTCCACCAACAGAACAATTTTGGACTTTGCCTTCACATCTTTCTTTGCGTCTACCGCTGAAGTATCATCAGGATCAACACAACTCCATAGTTCTTCGTGCTGTAAGTATGATTTAACAGCAAATCTCCACGTACTGTAATTTTCCCGGCCGGTTAACTTGTCGATTTGTAGGTTATTCGACATCGCGGCCTATTATATTTTTTTGCACTGTTTATACGACTTTACGGATAAAACTTTTTACTTCACTTATATTCAGGTATGGGACGGCCCATAACCTGTAGTAAACAATACCCGAATACTAGTAACAAAGCTTCATTTAAAGTAAAACAATTGGCAAACACGATATAACGTTACACAGCAGTTTTCAAACAGGGCGAGAAGCGCCACCACGCGGTAAGAAAGTGAAACTTATTTTGTTTCGTCGTAGGCTAAGGGATCTATGTTTATACTGCCAGTTCTTCAGTAACACCGAATGAATACCAAGATGTTGACAATGAATGGCGACGATTTCCTAACTTTGAACTACCTGGTTATATGAGTATAAAGGATAATCCAGATATTTTTTGGAATAAATTATTCAAGAATAATTCTGGAGATAATAGGGCTTCTATCTAATCAACGAATATATGATTGTATTGATTATGAACCAAGCAAGACTGAGTTTAGTCGAATGACCGCTGCAATACTTTATCCTCCTAAATTAGGTGGGAAAAAAACTTATTCTAAAAGAAATTGTGATAGGAATTTGAGAGAAAATAGGAATGAGAGTGATGAAAATGACTTTGATAATGTTATTATGCCAAATGAATCATATCGATTCTATTCAAGAAGAAAATAAGCCTGTTCATTCAATTAAAAAAAAAAATTAGAAAATAAAAATAAATATTTATTTTTAAATAATTACGTTGATCAGTATTGGAAAGTTTAAAAATTGAAGTTAAAATGTTGAATCATATAATAATCTTGCTTTTTTTTAT